TAACTGGAAGGTAACAATAGAAATGAGGTTGGATTCAATGAACCCTGCAGAAAGCTTGGAAGATAGGAGGTGAAATCGTCAACAGTTGTCAGGAGTCTAACTAGGAGCATTGGTCTGGTCAGATCTATGTGTACTTTATTATCCACTCACTTATTGGAAGCTTGCAAAGGCAAAGTGAAAAACGGATATATACTCACGCCACCTCTTTCTGTTTGTGGGTAAAAATTTGGGAGTTACAGTTACGGTTCCTACTGTCCAATAGATGTAGTGTTTATATCAGGTAAAAGAAGATAAGCTTGGGGGTGGATATGCTTCTTCAACTTCAATAATATTGTCCCTTTACTTGATTACATAACTGGGTTTGTAATATTATCAAACGAGGTAATCGAGGATAAGGATGAAGATATATAGGGCAAGTCATTAGTGAAAAAGAGAGACAGACAGGGATTCGCTGTTAAGTTATCTATAAATTATATAGAGTGTTTAATGTTTAAATAATATGCCAAAAAAGATGCGCATGGCACGCAATGGATTCCTTAGGTTTATGCTTTTGAGTTGTTTTTGTGAGTTTAATAATATCAACTTTGTCTAAACAAATCAAACCCTTAAACAAATGGGTGTCATGTTTATCCCGACACATCCAGCCCTTGTTTCCCATATACCAACTCTGATTAGTTTTCGTTTCAGATCTTGAAGCACTAATTAATCAAGATTTCCCATCAGTCACACCACCCTGGCTAATCATCAAATTGACACAGCCTATGTGTCATCAAATCATATATGCTTTTAAGGATCTGATTTATTAGTTAATTAATTAATAAGCATATTCGGGTCCATTCGCGAGTGCTCTGATATTATTTGATGAGGAACAACGAGTAGTGGTCCCGCTTTGTGGGTCTTTTGGTTGATTCATTAGCCTGTGTGATGTGATCTGAGAAGAAAATTCAAACATATATATATTTATATAACACTATTTTATCAACACTAAGGTTAAGACCTTTTTGTTGAAAAGATATCATCACTCGTTCACAGATTTCGATCAACCACAACATCTACATATATAGAGCTCTCATGGCCCGGCAGGACCCTCCTATCGTTCAATCCCACTTTTACTGGCCCTTGTTATCTCAGTAGCTAGGTTAGCATTTTATCTTAAGATTTTGTTAATATATTTACAACCATATGAGTAGAAGAAGACATTTTGCTTGGTTGTGTGTGTGTGTGTGTGTGTTAATGTGAATATTGTTCGTAGTATGCGCCACAAACAGTACTCTCGCGTGTTTCCCTCTTTCCAGACTAATGCCCTTCACGGTTTATCCTCTAAATCTGTGCTTCAATTTCATTTGATACTACTACTTCTTATGCCAATCACGCATGCATAGACCATATATATAGAGCCTTTCTTTATATGTATGGTACGTCCATTATTTTAACCCATCAATAGGCCTAGATTTCATCACTCCCTGGATTACGCCTTGATTTTAGCCATCATATGTTCACTTTGCCACTTAGCTAGGCCGCTCACACATATTACGTACAAGATTCAAGCTCTAACTCCAAGGTTTAAAGGGCAGCAGCGAGCCTACTACTTCACCCATCCTGCTTTGGACCTTTTGTACCCACTGAAAAAGTGCGGCAAATTAAAGGGGTAAAAGGATAGTGGAGCTCACTTAAGTCAATATGATGGTATTCATTATGCCTTTGAAAAATTTAGATTCATGCACCTAGTCGTGAAACCAAGCATGATCATTGGCCTTGGCATCGGCATCCAATATAAATATTGTGAATTTCTGTGACAGTACATCATAGACCTGTCCCTTTTTCAGTCACTCTCCCTGAGGCTAGTGACCAGTTAAACCCTATCCAGGCCATGAAGTGATAAACTGCGATTACCATTGGAAGCTTAAGCCCTAGCGGGTCGCTTTCACTAAAAGCTGGCCTGGGTCTGATCCCCACAGTAACACATATTTACAAAATCATAAAGTTGGATTAATTATATATATTATTCCGTATACTTCTAAAGTAAGAAATCTCAGGCGCCCAGCTAACGAGACAGTACATTAACATATATGATAATAAAAGATTCTGGTGCTTTGATAAATTTATATGTAATCAGGTAACGAAATGGAATTAAAAATGGAAGGAGCGTACGAAACGTGGCAGAAGGGAATAGACAATAGTGGGTATGTGGCGCCGCTTCGTCCCTTGGTTTCTATGTCTGTCACACCCTTTAAGGGATTCCGAGCTGGCTGTCCTTCCCTCTGCAAATTACCACTGCCATTAGCACATGGTGGCCACTCATCTTATTGTCTTCTTTTCCCAGCCCTTTGTTTTTTTAATTTCATTTTATTTTCATTATGCTTTGTGTTCTGATTTCTGATGTGTTGCAAGGTTGTGAGGTAAAGAGGGAAAAGACGATGTGATCGTGTCGTGTATGTCGATCAAACATCTACCGATATTCTCAAAGAAAAAGAAGGATCATTGAGATGGATCATATATATATATATATATATATACACACGTACATACATGCATCGGGCGATCCCAAGAAAACCAAACAGAACACTCTTTACCCACTTCTTTTGTATTCAATCTTCGTGTCACCTACCGATAGCTCTGTGTTGTGTGGTCCTTGTTTGAGTTTCCTTCTTGTCTGCCCCCTCTGTGAGGTTCGACGCCCGTACGTTGGTGCCGTGGCCTTCTGTTCAATATCTACGCGAGGGAAAAAATTAATGTTTTCCAGCCAAAGGCACAGGAAAATGGACCACCTGGTCGGTTTAAGGATTTGTAATACATAGTGGCGAACTCGATCATAATTAGAACATTCTGCATGTATAATCTAACGAAATAGAGCAACTAAAACATAAAATTTGACGGCTTGTTTTTTTTTTTTAACTCAAAATTAAACGATATCCAACCAATTAATCCTTCCAGAACTCTTAATCATACTGAATAAGAGACTGATTCACTTATATTTATTGGTCTCACCAATCCAGTGAGGTTGAGTTTTAAATACTATGTTCAAACCAAACTCAACATGATTTGATCCAGTAAATTTTAAATGGCGGACTGAATATAAATGGAATTTTTTAAGAAAATAAAACTACCTGGACGCTAATGGAAGCGATTGGGTCATCTTATCTGCCTGCATCAGAAAGAAAAGATATTCGAGTCATCTTATTTACATTGCTGATTATTAAATGAAGTTGACACAAAGCTATCGTAATTGAGTTTTTGTGATCAAGTTCTGGAATGCAGTTCAAGCCCGAATATTTTGTAGCATGTGGGCCATTGCTTCCTCTATTTTGTAGCGTCTGACAATGGAGTCGCATACACAGTCTAATCAACTACTCAACTATGAGCCCAATTCGTCTGAAATGTAAAAGCCCATTAATGCCCAACATTGTGGATCCCCTGTGGTCGGATCTTTTCGCACCCACAGCATTCCTGCTTCTTTTCATTACTGAAGCCCTTGACTCTTTGTTTCACTTTGGGTGAACCATCAAAAGAGAAAACAACAAACACGGTAATTTCTCATAAAATAACGAATCAAGATTTAAATTTTTATTAGATAAGGTGCATATATTTAGTACCTCATAATACTTCTAATAAAAGAATATCTATTCATAACTAAAAAAAATCAAAAGAGAAGAGCACATGATACTGACCAATGGAGATTGAGTTTAACAGAAAGGACCAATTTCTCACAAGATGGTAAATTAAAATCCGAATCCTCACTAAGAGATGTGCTCACATTTGGGCTTGTTTGGAATAGCTTATAAGTAGATTTTCAATTATAATTTACAAAATACAAGAGAAGTACGTCAGATGAGTTTTGTCTCTGCTTATACAAAACATGTTGATAAGTGCTTTTAAACGTAAGCCAAACAGGTCAATGCTTGACGAAGTCTCGAATAGAATTACTTCCAGTAGGATAACTATGTTTAGGGTGTTTGAAAACCCCAAAAAGTATTTTTTAAAAAGCACTTTCATACAAACAAAATTTGTCTCACATATTTACTTCGTATATCGTAAAATGACTTTTAAAACCGTAGTCTAGTTTTCATCCAAACACTATCTAGTAGAAAAAGAAAAGCACACAATGTTTCTTACTAAATGAAATTATAGGTGAGTCAGATGATACCTTTAAGCTCCAAGAGCTAATAATTGTCCACTAGTTAGATATTTACATCGACGGGATTTGAAGTCATGACTTAACGGCTTATAAACAAATTACTCACCAAGTGGAGTAACCTTTACTGAGAGAGCACGTAGTTGATCTGGGGCATAAAATGCAGTGACAGGAATTTAGGATCTGTTATAATTCACCTGCGATAAAGTATTTGGAGTAAACGTAACATCATTTTTATCAATTTTTGGCTTCCAAAACTAGAAACTGTGCGTAGTGCCTACAGCTTCCATGTAATAGTATCCCTATATCAATCAATCTTCGAAAAGGCGTCTTTCTTCAAACTTTCTGTGCACTGAAAATCTGCTGTAGTTAGTCTAAATAGTCGGAGGAAAGGCTTGTCAATAACAGCTCACAGAAACTTGTTAGGGACACAACCCAATTGCTTCTGGAATTTGCTGCTAACAACTAAAGTTAGGATGGAAAATAAATCATTCTTTTCTTCTTAAAGTTATTGGTCTTTTTCGTTCTAAAGTATCACGCGCCTGAGATTTTAATTATTCTTCAGCGCCCAAAGAGAAAAACGCGGATTAATTAGTTCGATTCTTGTTATTAACCGTCCGGAAAAGGAAAAATGAGCCACAAGTAACGCGGTCTGTCCATGTCATACGTATATAATACGACGAAGTAGGCAATTATCGTATAAATGCAGCATTGTCGTATAATTAAGTTGGCACGTGTCTTGTCATGATTATTGTTTTGGCTCTATGTTATCACTACTATTGTTGATTATATGGTAAGAATTGACTTTAAATTTTGTAGCCAATAATAATTGGCTCTAATTGAATTTTAGCGTGAGTGACAATGCCAGATTGAAATTGTAATCAAAAGTGAGAATTCTGCAATCCAGTCCTAGTTGAAAGCTTGAACTCTTTCCGTCCGATCTGATCTGTCGCGCCCTTTAAAAAACAAAAAGCGAATCTTTTTTAGGCCCAAAAAGACCATCACTTCAACAATTCAAATTTCCGCGATTTGGATTAAATTCAAACTATCATTGTTTTTCAGAATTTGGGTGAGATTCTTCCAGTATTGCTGCTGCCAGCGTTATATTCTTGTTCTTGATGGGGAAAGGAGGAGGCTGCGTTCCCAGCAAGAAGAAGGCAGTGTCAGTCGTCGACGATCCTCCACGTGAACGCGCCGAAGGGTTGGGAAACGCGCCGATCGTAGTTGAAGAAAACGTCCATGATGCCGATGGAGATACTACCGCTGCATCAATCCAAGAAACAGCGTCGCACTCGCATCCAGTGGTGAAATTGAAGATTTTCATTGTGTTCTATTCAATGTATGGGCATGTTGAAGGACTGGCTAAGAGGATGAAGAAGGGCGTCGATGGAGTGGATGGGGTGGAAGGGGTTTTGTATAGGGTACCGGAGACATTGCCAATTCAGGTATTGCAGCAGATGAAGGTGCCGCCGAAGGACGAAGCCATTCCGGAGATCGCGGCTGCCGAGTTACCGGCGGCTGATGGGCTTTTATTTGGGTTTCCGACCAGATACGGGACCATGGCGGCACAAATGAAGGCATTCTTTGATTCAACGGGGCAGTTATGGAAGTCGCAAGAGCTCGCAGGGAAGCCTGCTGGATTCTTTGTCAGCACTGGGACTCAAGCAGGTGGCCAAGAAACTACCGCGTAAGTATCTTCCTTTTGTTACCACTTTCGCTTTATATGTGCGCAGCTTCACTGTGAAATCGTTTCGAAATGGCCATAGTTGATACATTGGTACAGGACAGCTGGAAATGAATGCTTGTGTTTATAACTTACAACTACAATGATGGAAGTCTGCATTGAACATCTTTGATTTTGGCTTATTAATTACTCCGGTCCTAAATATATGACCCATTTTGCAGTGCAAGTTACACTGCAAAATGGGTCATATATTTAGGACCGGAAGAGTATTATTAATTCGATCTAACTAAACACAATTATAGTGTACAAATTTATGGCTACGTGTGCTTTCCTTCGTGAAGTCAATCTTCATGCGGAAGCATTGTTTTCCTTCTTTTGGGTTTTTTTTTTGTTGGGGGGGGGGGGGAACTTGTTGGCCAAAGAGGAAAAAAGAAACTACACAATAAAATATCGTACGCAAGACTTGAGAAATTTCAATTGCTCTTGATTGCAAGCTTTGTGTCAAAGGTGTAAAAACATTGAAGTTACGACTTTGAACTACTGCCTTGTTGCATAGATGCTTCATTTTATTGTGACGGATCTGATGTGGAAATCCAAATTGGCTTGAATAGGTAACTTTGCATGGGGTGAAAGATTGCATTGGTAATACATACAGGAGGAACATGGTCAGAGATAGTAACATTGTCTGGACTGTTAGTGATCATGACGAGAGTTCAAAGCCGTTATGGAATTGGATAGTTTCTTTTATGACTCTTGACCATGCATACACGCTTTTCTTTATCAGATAATCCATTTAAGATGGAAATAAACATCTTTTGCAAGACTGCACATAATGTTCAAGCAGGCTTTGCTCTTCTATGTACTTAAGCTGTTAAGTAAATCTTCAATCCTTTATACCCTTCATAATTAATAGATTTCATTCAGTGTAGTGCTTGTTCTTTCTTTAATATGGATGGAACATAGCTTATATTCATACTCTATGCATCTCTGTTTTTTCGCTCTGGACGGCATAAACATACACCCAGCAATGAAGACACTGACATTTCATTTTGTCATTGCTTGGGTATCTTGAACGGCAAGGGTATCTATGAGTTATTTTATACATGGGTAGCTAGGATAAGAATTGCAAGTTGTCAAAGCAAATAAAAAATGGTTAATATGAAACTTGGTAAAGCCTTGTCTGATTTCCACATTCTTTGGGATTTACTAGGCAGTAGTCAAGATATTTGTAGCTTGGTGTGTAAACCTTTAATCGTACATTAAAGGCAGTACCCAGTTTGGATAACTAAGATGTTTGAGAATCCTAGATGCTTGGCTTATTACCTCCCCGATGGCTCTTTGGTCTTGAGGACGAGACAGAAATCTAATGAGTGATTGAGACGTAACTGAAGTTGAAGTGAAATGGAGAGACTGGAAGCCACTTCTTATTTATGGGTTATATCTTACATCTAAATGACAAAATTAACAGAATTTACGGCCATGATTTGCGAATAATGTCAGATGTAGTTTGGATTCAGTTCGAGTTAGTGTGAAAATCTTGTCACGGAACAATCACATCAGTAGAGTATATATGGCTGACTTTCACTTGGAGTGGAAGGAGGGATGTGCTTTGCATCCTCAAGTCTGAATATTACTGTAAACTTTCTTTCACATGTTTTAAATGAAGATTTTGTAGCATTTCAAGATGGAAAAACCAGAGCAGATTATTAGATTTTGATTGTCGAAGGATATTACTGATTGCTGTGCTTTTTTTTTCCTGTTGCAGTTGGACAGCAATCACTCAGCTGGCACACCACGGGATGCTGTTTGTTCCTATTGGATACACGTTTGGACCTGGTATGTTCAAGATGGATTCCATAAGAGGGGGTTCTCCATATGGGGCAGGAGTGTTCGCTGGTGACGGCACAAGAGAGCCAAGTGAGACAGAGCTGGCACTTGCAGAGCATCAGGGCAAGTATATGGCTGTGATTGTCAAGAGGCTGGCCCGGTCTTCTTGATGCTTTCTTGGTTTCATTGTCTATTCTTGTTGGGCATCTATATTTTTCTACCTCTCTGTTTTGTGGAAGATTGGTTTTTGGCATTTTACTGTTGTAGTAGGTCCCAGGAATATGATAGTCTGTTCCCATGTCAATTCCCTAGCTGCTCTCGGTTCTGCATTGTTGTGGAAGGTATAGATTTTTTTTTAAGGGGGAATAACAAATAATACTGTGAATTCGTGTATCTTCTTGTCCCCTAATTGTGGTCTGTTTTGATGAATGTATAGTGACGATTTGCTTTAATGAAATTGATTTATTTTTGGAAGGATAATCTGATAATTCCTGGTCACAACTAAGCTTTGTTGTGCATAAAAGAGGAGGGCGATTGAGAGTTAAAATATTTAAAAAGAAAATGTGCGAGTTATGTTCAAGAGCATAATATTATCATCTGGAACGTGTTTTCTTCAAAGAAGATACTGGGTTGGGCCGTTGTGTCCAAGAATCATTGTTATTGAGTTCCAATGGTAGCCAATGGATACATCAGTTTCTTCATGCCTATATTTAGTACCCAACAGTATTTCGAATAGGATTGTTTCCAATAGGAGGATACCTATGCTTTAACAAAAAAGAAGCATAAGAAATAATTGGAAGTTAATCTTTTTTGCTTCGGTTTCAATTAGCTTATGAGAAGGATAAGCCGAAGTGGCCAATGGAGAAGTGTACCATTGAAGCCTCAGTGGAAATGGTACTATGCAGTGCATGTTGGGACACCTTCAATAATTTGCTGAAGTTGTTGCTAGCTAATTTTGTTTCTCATTTTGCTACCACTCATTTTGCTCTTACAAATAAAGGACATGCTCAGCAGGGAGTGGCTAACCATATTCCAGGTGCTTGATCGGTCCAATAATGGGCGGGCAGACTGCCTGGCAAAGACAGCTCTGAGTGGTGCCACGGGTCTGCAGTGATACCACGCTGAAACTTTGATGGAGATTCTTGCCGCTGATGGCGATCTTTAGTCTGTGGCTTTCTTTTTCCCCTCTATAAAAAAAAAAAGGTTAAATGCCACTCTTTGTTCAAAATATTAGTATTATATTATAATGCTATTCCTCCGATCTTTAATATATAACCTAATTGTTAAGTTAATTTTGGTGCTAAGTATAAGACCTATTTCTCATGTTTATCAATTTTTTCTAAATTATCCTTATAGATACTTCCTCGATCATAATCAAATGAGGGAGGGAGGATATTAAGAAAGATGATTAGGATATTTTAGGAAAAACATGTCATATTTCTTATAATTAACTAACTTACCTAACTTTCTTAGTCTAATCAAATTAGTTAAATAGGTCTTATATTAAGGGTCGGAGGAGTATAATTTTTTCAGAAAAAACTATAAAAGAAATAAAATGTAACTTCGTCAACCTTTTTTTCCCCTTAAAAATTGAAAGATTGTATAGGATCCCTCATTGCAGGCGGAACAAGCGCGAGGAGCGAATGGGTCCAAGTTTGTAAAGTTATATCAAAGAAGCCACCTTCAAAGAATGAATATAAGGCTCAAGCTTCTTATTCATCCTTTGCTTCTGCTGTATTTGGGGGTTTATTAAAGTGTTCATTTTTACGAGGCAGTTTATTCTCTTTTGTCTGTTCACTGTTCATTTCGCTGATCGTTATTCTAACAGTAATTTCTTAATATTTGCATCAGTTTCATCAAATTTTTCGAACAATGAGTGATGCCGGTAACGCTTTTTCTTTTTACCTTTCCTTCTAATTCTTCCCCATAAAAAATTTTCCATTTTGATTGGAAAACGAGAAAAAGTTAAAAAGCTTTGCAAAGCCGAAAGGATTAAAGGCGCCTATATGATATCGGAATAATTATATGGTTTTGCTTTTTGAACATTATTTAACCCTGAACAACATTATGATTGAACACTCCGATTTCTCACGAGCATCATTCATTATCATCATTCCCAATTCTTTCCATGTCCCCAAATATTTGTCATTTAGTTTAATGATTGCGAATCTGATTAATTTGGTCTGTGAGATTTCAGGATTTCGCATCACAGTAACAATTAATCAATGTCATCGATCACCAATAGTCAGCTAATAATTAACTCATTGTCTGCCCTTCAGATTTCTTCTCACTTTATCCATTTAATTGTAAAATGTTTTTCTCTCAATTAGGAATTTTAAATTGCGCAAATAATTTACAATTTAACTAACCTTGGAGATGAAGCACGTCGTATTATACAAAATGAAAAAAGCAAAATAAAAAAGAAACTCGACGCTTTATGAAAGGATCATTTCGGGAGAACATGTTTGATTAAACCTCACCCTCCAAAAAGAATCATTGGCCAACCAAAGTCCAAAATCGGTCTAAAAGTGGCAAGTATTTCGCCAATATCTCACTAATGCATAAGCTCAAATTCCACTACCAACAGATTAAAAGTTGTGTTGCTGGGTGACATAAGCTATTTTTTGAACCATGTGACGTCTTGACTTCAACAAACCCCAAGAACCCAACTCACTCCTTTATATTTTTATTCACCGATTAAAAAAAAAAAAAAGCAAAAGAAAAGCATGGTCAAGACTAAATACCATGATTCACCTAAAATAGTGATCGTTTAGGAATTAAATTGACCAGTCATATTTGAAGGACCAAATGAAAAATGATATTTCAGGAAATGTATCACCCCAATTTATTGTGCTGCCATTACCGTTGTGCCCATCAAATGCCCGGGGAGAGAGAGGGAGGGAAAGAGAAAGCAAATGAATCTTGTCTCTACCTTGAACCACATCCAACTAATAGATCAAGATACAAATAGAACACAAGTGTTCCAGTAACGTTCTGCTTGAGTGGAGGATAAGATCGTTCCAGGAATCAATACCCCTTGCTCCACCAAGACGAATTAGAGACAGGGAAGAAAGGAAAAATGTAAATTGGTAAATAAATTACACAAACCATGGACTGAAGCTTTGATGATATATTTTGAACAGCGGCTTGAAGTAATCGAGCAAAGGCTACATACAGCGAGGGAAAAAGATTTGCCCCACGTAACCACCAGCCATAGCCCTCCTTACATTAGACTCGAACATTTTGGGATTCTCCCTCAAAACTGCCGCTGCATCATGATTGAGAGGGTCCTCATAATTTGGCTCCTGCACACGTAATCTGAGAGATTAGAATCCTGAAAAAGTCAGAGACAACCACTTATAATGTCAGAACCAAAGTCATACCGTGAAAAGATGATACAATCCATAAATGACTGTGTTTATATTCAGAACAGGTTTCCAATCTTCTCGTAAGATGTTGAGGCAAACATTTCCCTCCAAGTCAATATTTGGATGGTAGACCTTCAAATTGGAGTTAATTATGCACAAAAATTAATTAAACATGTACATGAGCAACGCATGCAGGGGCAAAAATATGAGAGATTGTCCTACCTTTGTCTTGCACTTAACTTTTGGTGCTTCATGTGGATAGATGGGAGACACTTGGAAGGAAAACAAAAATGTACCACCCCTGTAACCACAAACAAGACACAATAGACATGAAGAATCGTTCCTCCTTTTCTGTTTTTGCAGTCAGTGTATTTTGTTTTTTGTTTTTCCTGTTTGCCTGTTTCTGTTTTCAGAGGAGATGTGATGTACAAATAAAAAGGAATGAAAATTCTTACTACAAAATTCATGTTTATAAAGATCAAATGAACCATATGAATGTTCTAATAAATTTCCAGATAATAGATATATCTGCTTACACATAATATCCTTCATCAGGCCGAATTGTAACTTCAAAGTTCATCAGGTCATCTTTACCATTAGGGAATTGCATGGTACAAGATTTTGGTAGATTCAGCTCACTTATATCTGCAAAACGTTATATTTCACTAACATAAACTGTTGGGAAAGAAAGAAATCACAGAAGGTACATGTTCGAACAAGGCTATAATGTGTTTTACAGGAAGAGCAACTTATAAACTACTAACTTGAGAAACAATATTATAGCTGAGCTCAAAAGTAACAACTAATTACAGAAATAGCAGTACCATAACCACGTATCTCCATAAGCATGTGATGTTTATTAACCAATGGCAGCCATATGACTCTCCGTTGTTTGACCCATACTTTTAAAGAAATAATCCACCAAACTAGAAACCAAGAAAATAGGATGTCGATATACAGAATACTAAGGTATAAAGCCAATCTCAGAGAACCTCACGTATATAGGTTATCTTGACCCCTCAATACAAACCACCCCAAGCCTGCCCAGCCTATCAGCTTATCTTATCACTTCAAGGAGAAGTCCTTTGAGATCAATAAAATCCCCTTGCATGACAGATTTCTTAACCTTCTTGCACCAGCTTTGAAAGTTTTGTTGACAACCCTTCATATGAAGGCCTTCTTGCATCAAACAAGAAATTCAGTGGTCGTCTGAAGGTTTATATGCAACCAGGATGAATATAATGTTATGCACTCTAGCCAATTATTAAAATCCATCAACAATAACACCTCAAGTCTCCTCAAAATTCAGAATTACATAAACTTGGAAACCAGAAGGTTTATAAGCTCTCACATACAAGTCTCTTAGAGCATAAAGAATGGCTGTCACTCAAAACAATAAGCCGCTAAAACCATCTAACAAAACATTTACTCTTCCAATAGCATGACCATAATCAAAGAAAAGGAGATAGAATGTTAATGGTTAGGAAGTAGAAACCAGTTGCCCAGATATACTACCTATGTAAGCCCCACCAAGTAAACGACATTAAAAAACCAACTTTAGAAACCACAAAATACACCAAAATTGCTAATATGAAGTGATGTAGCCTCGCAAAATTTAGATGAAGTTTCTTTCAGATAAAAAATATCAAAAAGAGAAAAAAAATCATGCAATAACTTCTGTAGCTTATATCTTATGACTTTTGGCCTAGATCAACGCACAACATCTTGATGAAAATGAAATTGCAACAAAAACCAAACCTTTTAATTCACTAATGATTAAATAATTATGATAAATATCCCTCAGGCCCCGAACACCCACAAAGAATTTTGTCTTGACAGTGGAAAGTCCAAAAACAACTTAAATATAAAAAAAATTTATCCAATTGTTGCTCTAACTGATCAAGCTTATTTGCAACCAATATGCCCTTTTTTTCACAAAAGATGGGAAAGAATTGCAAACAACATCTGAACATCGCATAGCAGAGACAAAACAAGATCTCATTTTGATAGCAAGAAGAAAACCTTTGTGCAGACGCAACTCCCCAGCAGTTTGCTTCTTAATCGGTGCTCCACCACTTGCATTCTCTGCAAGTTCTCTCTGTTTTTCCTTTACTTTGAATAGTTTGATCATATTCCTACATCAAGAATGTCAAATCTAGCATCAACACGTATTCCATAGTGGTCTATAAAATTGGAGAAGAAATAAGGCATCGAAAACTTTGAGGAAGAACTGCAATAAATTCAGAAAGTGCAGACACCATTGTGTTAAAAGATGCCAAATCAAAAGGAGATAAAGCATATTCAGTTGTCAAACCTTAAAAAGAACTGGAGAAGACCACACAAGTATTCAACCTACCTAGCTCGAATCCAAAACAAGGTTACGAAAAAGTACCTAATTATGTGAACAAGATATAAAAACGGGCTGAACTGGTGCTGCGAGAATTACTTGGATAATTTCTTTATAGGCATGAAAAGAAGGAAGCACTAATCAGGCACCGAGTGATAAGTTGTTTTTCAAAAAAGCTACTAGTTCAGAAATCATCCAACAGTTTGTACTCATCAATCTAGACATTTATTAGCCCGTGCGACATCGAGCTATACTTAAAAATAGTTAGCAGATCATGTTCATATAGGCCACTGGTCCAGCAAGCAGCGCAAAAATCTGACAACAGAACAACAAATCTCTACCAATAGAATATGGCAGCCTCCGATGGGATACAAGCATACCAGACATGTATGAAAAAGGAAAATGCAAACAGAACAAGGGGATAGAAACAGGTACATAATTGCTCATGTTAATATCGAAAAGAATTAAGCAAGGAACCCTAGAATGAAAATAATCCAACGAGATCAAAAACTCGGGAAACGCAAGGGGAAGAGGGGTGAGGGATCGGATTAGTAGAGAGAAATCTACGTACAAATCTGAGAAAAACGGAGAAGAGATGAGCGAGTACCCGAGATAACTACGCTAAAAGGGGGGAAAATATTCAGGAAGACGATATGGAAAGAACCTGGTCTGAGAGAGAGAGAAGGATGCGAGCGAAGCGAGAATTGGAGGCTTTCCCAGCTGGCAGTGCACTTGGGAGCAGGAACTTATATTTTTGCTTTTTATTTTGACACAAAAAGCCATCTTCCGCACAAGAAGGCAAATTTTATTTTATGCAAAAAAATAAAATGAAAAATAGATTTGATTAAAAAAAAAAAAAGCTTCGTAATTTTATTTTTAAAGGGAAAAAAATCACGCAATTACAAAACAGTTATCCAACCTCCCAACCAAACAGAACTCATCAACACACAAGGAGACATTTACAAATAATCTGCCAAAATCTATTCCTTTTATTTACCCTCCGATGAAAACATCTATTCATTTTTTTTACTGAAAAAAAAAGCACATATTCATTTCCTCAATATTGAACACTTGTTGCATATCATTGGTGGTCTCAAAATTTTAAAAAAAAAAAAACACACGCATTTGTTACCATTTGGCCAATACATGAGAACTTTTTACGGTGTATACTAGATTTCCTTTTAAAAACTGTTCCTTTATTTTTTTCATAAATTCCCTTTTATGTCCTCATGCACTCGGTGACAGTTAACTATACTTATAAAGAGAATAATTCTATAACTGATCACCTTACCAAATTATTACACTGGACGAAAGAAAATTATTGTTTATTTGATCACATTCTATCTTTCTAATATGAGATGGGTACGGATGAAAGAAGTCTCTTTTCCTGTTTGTAATCTTAACTTTGTTTTTTTGGTTTCAATAGATATACAGTTTTAAAAACAAAAACAAGAATGAACCTCCGAAAAAGATCCTGAAGTTTTGGTTCTGGGGGAAAGAGGCGGTTAGGTTGCTTTGTCTACACGCTGAATTTAATTGGGGGTTTCGTATAATGAATGAGTGATAGCGGCAGCAAAGAGTGGGAAGCCTGAATACGACGGCGTTTCTGCGGGTAGTTGGCGGGCCCCGCGGCCTGGCAGCCTGTGGGCGCAATTTGGTTCTTGTCTCACGGGGGCACTTCCCGCCTCCTCATTTATTTTTGTTTTTATTATTTATTTTGTTAGAAAATGTTTGTTTATTTATTTATTCTTTTATCTGTCAAAATAGTTCACTTAAAATATATTTTTAGTCATCTATAAAAAGAATAATAGTATTAAGATCTTTAATATTAATAATACATTTTCAACTTCTAATAAAAAATTATGATTTGAAACTAATAATTTTAAAATTAAAAAATGAAAAATATACATTTTTTAAATTAAAAGACTAAAACTTACGCCAAAATTAAAGGAAGAAATGAATATATTTGGCTTCACCAGGTACAAGGCTGGTGTTTGTTTTTGGCATAGTATTAAAAATCAGACAGAAAAGTCTATAGGAAAAAAAAAAAACAATTGACAGTGGGTCATCCTAAGGGAGGTGACCTGGGGTAACTAAAGAGAAACCAATTAACTCAGCTTGTTTGGTGGTTTAATCCAATTGGGTTGTTTTAATACTTTAAAATTATATTAGTTTAAATATTAAACAATTGTATATAAGAATATTTTGTTATCATAAATTTACTTTAATATTTTACTAGAATGAATATTTAGTGATTTTAATAATATGATATTACAATGTCAATCTGTCAAGAAAATTATACAAAAAATTGAGAAAAAAATATAAGTATATAATTATTTTGGCAGAGATTCAAATTATTAAATTGATGTTTAATCTTTTAGATGACATGATGAGAATTTAAATTAATATTTTTAATTTTTTGTATTTCTTACTAATTTGATTCTTGAATTGACTCTATTTAATTCATTAACTCTTGATTTACTGTCTTCAAAAGATCATACTCTGTTTTTTTTATTTATTTAAATGTTGAGCTACTGGACGCTCTGTACCGCGACCACCTGCCATCCCATCATCTGCTCTCTTTCTATCTATCATGTCTCTCCATGCCACGGCCTATCTCCCCATTTTTTTTCTCAATATTTACATCGATATTACTATATCTTCATAAATAATGATATCATGAGGTCAAAAAAAAAAAAATCATATACTACCTCTTGTCCTTAATATAAGACGCTGTTTGATTTTTATTTTGGTTTTAAATATAAAACCCTAATTCACTTTGTCTCTCATATTTATACATTTTTTTCTAAAGTAACCCTTCTAACAATGATAGTTCTAGTCAATACACTTGATTAGCAAGGATATTTTAGGATAGACAACATCTATTTAGCACGAATAACTAACTTAACTTATTTCTTTAATCTCCTCAAATTAGTCAACTGACTCTTATAATTAAGACCAGAGGTAATACTTCATATTTCAAGTCAGTTCTGATAACTTTATTACGTCCCTTTTATAATTTATTGTACTCCTCCTATTGCTTTTATAATTTAATATAAAGGTCTTATATTTAGGACAGAATATTAGGTTTTATATTTAGGACAGAATACTATTTATTTATAGTATCACTGATAATACATTTAATTAGATATTGATAAATTGATGATATGTTGTTTCTGGTGGATGAGTGCCCCTGATGTTTTCTCTTTACGATAAATGGTTTGATTATTGGCGATTTTTCTTCTTGTCAAGTCGGCAGGACACGAAGATCAAGCTGCCACCATGCACTTGACTTCAATTATTTACCTTTTTTTAATAAATACATAAATAAACAGGAAACGAATAATTGGAGATATTTTTAATGCGCGGTTTTTATAGTTGCAATTATTTGATTAGAATCCAGCACCATTATAGCAGCAATTATGGTGATACTGAAACTCCTAAAAAAACGAGGGATTGACAAGTCGGTTCGTTTTTATTTTTTTCAATTTGAAAAAAAAAAACTCTTCCAGCCTTAATATAAAAACTAATTGTTAAGTTGATTTTAGTACTAAATATAAGACTTATTTCTTATATTTATCAATTTTTTCTAGATTGTCTCTGTAGATACTCCTTCAACTATAATCAGGTAGAATAGAATAGGGAGAGAGAATATTAAAAAAGATTATAATAAAATTTTAGAAAGAACATGTCATATTTCTTAAAATTAACTTACCTAATTTTTTTAATATAATCAAATTAGTTAAATAAATTTTAAATTAAGAAACGAAAAATATTAAAAAAAGGCAGGCATGTACTTTAAAAGCGAACACTGATTCGTACGATTCAAACAAGGGTCACGAGAGAAGAACATTTTATTTGCTATGCTAAAACGATCAGGGGCTCCGAGTTAATCCTTCGTTCACAAGGGCATTTCTCGATCTGGTTTCTTGCTACCTGCCATCTTATTTATAAGATTTGCCCGCGAGATTGAATATACGAAGCATAAATTTACAAAAACTTACATTTATAACTTATTTTTTAAAATCGTCTCCTTTTCAATTCTTAATTCAATTTCCATTTGTCAACCCCTTTCCTGTTGGAATGAGCTGTACTTGTCATGAGTAATTCCAAGTAATAAAAATTTCCTCTGCGCAAGGAAAAAGTTACTATTTCCATTCCTAAATATAAATATAAATGATGGAATGTCGGATAAGAAAAATAATTAGAAAAATGACAAAAAATTACCTCTTAAATTTGAAGATGACAAATAAGTGATTTTAACAGATTTTGGTATATCAAAACCATTACAAGAGTGGTCAAAATTATCGTAAAAGTAGTCAACATGGCCTATTTATTCTTTTGAAATTTAAGAGGTATTTTTTTGTCATATTCCCAAATAATTATGTTATATTAGATATTTAAGATTTTTTTTAGATAATGTAAATGTTAAAAGATAAATAACAAAATGAGTTCCAATTCTAATGGATAAATATACTCGTTCATCTGATTGGTCATATATTGTCAGGTCCGACTAATAGCTCTTTTAAAAACGTTTTTTGGGCCAAAGTCTCTTTTACAAGAACCAAATGTTTGCTGATAATTATAATTTTATGAAACTCTCTTATCATTATCTTTCTTAAGATTCTTTTAGTTTTAGTTATTTCCAATAAAATACTATATCTAAATTAGTTAGATTTTTTGTTTGATTATCTTTTAGATTCAAGAGAGATTTAAATTTGAATTAATTTATTATTTTTATAGCTCTGTAGATAGAGTTGGGTTTTAAGTTTTATTCAGATTATCTTTCCATTTGATTAAATAAGAATTATTATTTCCTCAATTCCTAGCTCTTCTCTTCAATTTCTTCTCCCTTTCTGTCTCTCCTCTACTCTTTCTCTTTTCCTCTTTCCCCTTTCCCCTCCCCGTTTCCCATTAGTCAAAAATACTTAGCTCACATTTTTAAACTTTACAAGACTGAATGTAATATTCATCGTATCATTCCATCAAACGACTGTGAATGATATTATAGGATAATGCTCTTATTGTAACCTAAAATATATATATATATCACTCCATTTATAAACTGATAACAGAACACATACTTCACAGGTTATCAGCAACTATGTTTCATGTCATCACATGCGTCAATTTCATATAAAATAAATTGTGAGTTGTGACAATTATATCATAACCTAATTTAATTTTTTCTGGGTACAAAAAACTTGAGGTGAATTTGGTTTTCACATCCATAGCAAGATTTAAATTGACAACTTTGTGAGTTATAAGTTAATTTATTATCAACTGAACCAGTTTTTTTTTGTTGCTAAAACATAGGTATCCTTCTAATAGAGGTAATCTTATTCGAGACATTCTCAAATATTAGATTTGGGCACCTCTCATAACAGGAATTTAAACTTTGATTTGTCACGTTGTGAGAAAATAACCTTTTCTACTAGACCCAATCTCTATTAGTTGAATCAATTCTTATTTATTATAAGACCTTGATTTATCATGTTGTGAGAAATTAATTTTTTTTACCAGACCAAATCCGTATTAGTTGGATCAATTCATATTGATTACAAGAATTCAGATTGACAAATTCCATATCGAGGAGTGGTTAGGCAAGGAAGAAAACTCATGAAAGGCCCAAGTGAAAAACATGTCGCATGAGAAGGACCAAAACGATGTTTTAGTCGACACTTTAAATAAAA